GCTTAGTTGGGATTTTGATAGACTTTCAGGTCAAAAACTGATTTTTACAACTTCTAGAAAGTTCCTCAGATCTTTCTTATTATCCAAGTACTTTTGAAAAATAATATGATATTTGTAATCAGTACACATAGCGCTATCAAACTAGAAAGACTTCTGATGGAACAGAGAAAAATAAATTTTTTTCGATACCTGAGGGGGACTCCAGGGTCAAAAAGTTGACTTGTGATAAAATACAAAATAAACTTGTGAAAAATAATCAGGGCTCAATGCTGATTATTGGGGTAATAAAATTAGGCTTATCTGGTTTGGTACGATCAGTCCGTAATTTGACACACCTCCTTTATCCAAATGATACAGTTAATCGTTATCTTGATTATCCGTTAAATCATTTAATATGTGCATGTAAATAAATGTCTTCGATAAGATTAAATATAGAAAAGAAAGAAAAACATTCATCCCCCGATCGATAGAAATATTCGTTTATGTGTTAAACAAATATCGTTAAACAATCACACATTCAACCACTATTTATTTATCGTATTCGTATCTTCTTATCAAAACGATTGTATCGATAATAAATATCGATTGAAACTCAAATATTAAACTTAATCGTATTATTTTGAATTGTTATTATCATGTCAACAACAAATAACAATAAAAACGATAATAACGAAGATGATTACAGTAAATATTATTCTATAAATCAAGTAATGAAGTAAAATCATATATTTTGCTAGGTGGTGACGATCTTGAAGAAGTACTCAAGACTACATTAACTCCAGAACAATGATTACGGTTTAAGATCGAAGATCGAGATGTTTTTGTAAGTTTAAATATATTTAGAAATTTTTCCTAAAATTATTTATTCATTCTAGAATCCATTTGAAGGTGATGATCAAACTAGTGAAGAAACAGATATTGATGAAAAAGAAAGTAAAGAAGGAGATGAAAAAGGTTACGGTGATCAAGAGGCTGGTCATGAAGATCGTGAAGAGGATGATGAAGGAGGTCAAAATGATCAAGAAGCTGATCGTGGGTGTGGCTGTGGCTGTGGGTGTAGATAAAGAGGAAAAGCACACACCGACAGTCACACCCGCACCCTTTTATTGTTGTATCTGAAGAGATACATTCTGTAATACCTACTTGCATCATATTATAATAACTAATTGATTGATAATAGATTAACGAAGTTAGATCCGTTTATACCACTCCCCAAGTATCAGTAGGTGATGATGAATTACTATTCAATACACCATTATTATAACCATTCATTAGCAAAACAAAAACACAAATTTTGTTTTATCTAAAGTCTACTCTGAGACTATTAGCTTAATTATTTTTGTCTGTTTCTCTCTACTCATTTTTAAAATAACATTTACAATAAAAAATATGATTATAGATAATAATTAGACGTATTGATATCATCAACATATCTTGAATGTCTGTGTAGAGAACTTCAGCATCCACACTCACATCTACACCCTAAAATAAATGGTTGGGTATTATTACTTATTACAAAAGAATATTTACTTCATGATATGAATGTTGATTTAAGACCATCAATTATAATACTAAATGAAATATTTAAATTACGTGTACTTGGGCAAACATGTTCTTAATTTCAATTGTACATGTTTTCCATTTCCTACAAAATGATTTTGTAATTCTTAGGTTTGTCATGCAGTTTTTCGTAAAAATATAAGAAAAGCCATGATAAAACAAAAAGTTTTATCTAATATAATAGGATAGTGAAATCCAAACAGCTTGAAAAGCTCATTTGATTAAGAATTGAACATGATTTATTTTTTGCCAGTTGAATAGAAATAAATTTCTAAATGAATAGAATATTTCTTCGTGTCAATATCATGAATAAAAAAGATGTAAACAAATCATAACTGGTGTATCCGTGAGGATTTTGCCAGGTCAATCTGGCGATCATATCCAAATCCAGTGACACTTTCAGGATTGGTAGAACTCGTTGAGTTGATCATTTTGGTTATATACATTGTTAGATCTGACTCTGTTTTCATAAAAATACAGATCAAATACTAAGAATCATTTTATGCATAAAATATATTGTTTTGTCAACAGCGATAGCTACATCTTGACCGAAAAATGGGTAACTGTCCACTATAATCTACTCAAATTCGAAAACCAATGGCATATTCAGATTATTCTTAAGAAACTTCATCAGGATCTTTAGAATTGGAGAACGTTTTGAACTCGTTATGCTACCATTCAGATATATTTCGGTTTTCTGATTAACTTTTAAGAGAGTTCTTTGCTTCGTCATATACAAAAACAGTAAGCTCCAGATGAAAGCGCGAAAATATATAATAAATTTTAAGATTTTTCGAAATTCTGATGCAGTTTTTCATGAGGAATCTGAATATTTATATATCCTTCAATGGAAGTATTATTTGATAAGAACTCTTCTACAAATTCAAAAGGATCATCTAGACCGATGACCGTCTTTAATTTGCTTCTCCATACTTTAGGAGAAACACTTTTCAACTGAATATTACACTGGCGTATACCATTAATTATATTTTCAAATGACGCTTCATTATCTGAAGGGTATGAGTGCATGTTGGTATAGGTGCGGATGCTGTTCTACTCTCGATCCACACTCCATTCACATTCACACCTGAACCCTATTTTGTTTGTCACAGTTTTTTTGCAATTTGTACCATTTGCTCATTTTGTACAAATCATGTTTTACTTACTTTTACAGTATGGCAATGCGTACTACTTTACATAGCAACCGTAAAACATTAACGAGAAGGGTGAACGAAAAATGATGATGGAATAGAAGAAAAAAAACTCCTACTGGCTATATGAAATTCATTCCAGTATTATTTGAGGTAGTTGGTGTCGTTTAAAAGTCGGCCCCAAGATGGATTTTTGTAATTATTGCATAGCGTAATGAATAAAGCTTATGTTATCATGAACATTAGAATATGCTGCCATAATATAATGTAAAGATAAGGGTATTAGCTCGGATGTAGATGTTTACCATCTGTTCAGCAACATCCCCATACATACACCACACTTACATTCCTCCTCCCTCATTCACTCACGCTACGTACACCTTTCAAACACCCACCCCTTAGTTATTCATTTGAAGACAGTACAATCATTCATTCATTGAACAATGCTTGATAGAGCAGAAACACGCGTCGTCGAGGACCCATTCTCTGTCTCGCGGCTTGTACATTGACTGGACATTATTAAAATCACTTGCTATGATACCTTTATCAGGTTGCTTGCATCATGAGACGAGTTGTTAATTAGTGCATGGTTTTATTATGACAACTTTCTCATTCGAACGAATCAATGCATCAAAGATACAGTCATGTACTACTTTTTCCAATAAGAGATTATTCTGAGATAGGTAACAGAATTAAGTAAACGTTGGTTGAAGAAGAGGAAATTGTGGTTAAATCTCTCGCAAATGAATGATAACTAGGCCGTTGCCAAAGTCAGCACGACCGACTACTTTCATTCGCGTAGCCGGTAAAAGAAGAATTTCATCCTCTTCCTTGTAAGACGAATGAGCACGAATAGATTTCCCGGTTTCACATTCGATACTAAACACTGTTCTTACTCCTGTCTTGCTCAAAAATTTGTCATGTTCAAGAAGTTGGAGTGATTCCGTACACGAACTATTAAAAAAGAGAACATGAAATCAATAAAACAAAAAGACACGTAGAACTGACTTGAATCCCCACCAGACGAATTCTTTGCGAATCAGATATTGAGCACTCAAGTCAGCTTTAACACCACACCATACAGTCCTTCTGACTGATGGCAGTTTCCGCAGAGCGGTTAGAACAAGTTTTAAATAGCACGAATACGGAATGAGTTGATCTCGATTTTCTTCTCGTAGAGCGGCATTGATACGAATAGATAATGATTGATTATTTGGTTTCCATTTCATCGTGTACAGCTGAATAGCAGCTGATTCATCTTGAGAAAGTCTATCAGCAACTACAGTGGATCTCTCTTTCGCAATCAATGCATTTTGTCTAATATTTGGAATGATTTCTTGCAAGTGTTCGACTGCATCTTCTAATGACAAGAGAGGCTTATCTTCATGATCTTTGATGCTAGAGATAAACTGGAAGAAATAGTAATTTTGATAGATGATCAATTGAAACTTACGGTAATGGCATATGCTGATGTTCATTACGAATGTCCGGTAAACGTGAATTCAGATTAGATAGTTCATTACCACGATTTGACTCCAGTGTAACAGAAGGAAAACTTCTGTCTTCTAAAACAGAAATTCATAAAATTGTTTTTTATATGCTATATATATCTCTACGATTCTTTAAAAATAGGTTATCCTTATGTACACTTTTGTTAGTAAAGTATTCTCTAGAAACACTGAATCATGAAAATGAATTGTTAGGAACCAGTTTGTAGTCGATTCTAAAAATTCTCTTGCTAAGGATGAGATTGGTTTTCGGCCCTTGTTACTACATATTCGTGTTTTCTGCTCCTCTGAAGTTATTTAGAAAAAAAAACCGAGCAACAATTGTACTCTGCTAAACTGCATTGCATCTGGCAGTAAATATAGGATCGGGCTTCTCCTAACAGAAGCATCTTTTAATAGAGAATCGAAGAAAGATAAACTTTTTTTTATTGTTGATCAAATAGTCGTATTAGGAAACAATGACTTCTAGTCTTGAATAGCTATGACTAAAAAAGAGTATTTCCCACGCCTGCACGTACAGCAGCCACACCTGACATATTTCTGGTAAAGAAATAAAAAACACTGTAGAAAAAAAAATCTATGCAATCTCCCTTATTCTTTAAGATAATAAAATTGCCTATGATTAGGACGAACTTAAAAATTGATTACTCACCTGTTAAATCATTAGAAAACTCTTCTGGGACTTTTACAGTACTATCTTCAGCAGTGTGAATTTTCATCATTACTAATGAATATATTGCTTCGAGTTCTCTTAATTTTTGTACAAATTCTTCTTTTTCAGCAAACTAAAATGCTCATAAAATACAATAGAGCATAGAAATAAAATTTTCACACCTGATTTGTTTCTAACCATATCAATGTGTCTTCGATACCCAGGTGCAAAAATCGTACGAGGACCATATAAGATCTTATACGATCTTACTGACAATTAGATTTTGTAAGAT